AAATGCAGGTGTCTAAGATCGTTTTACCATCAATTGAAGTTGTAGTCCGTTTTTCATTATAAGAAAATTTACAGATTTTTTTTAATTAATTACTAATTAATTTTATATGTATTATTTAAATAGACTATATGAATTAACACGACATATAAAGTCTTAGTTAATAAAAAAAATCGTGAATTCATACCATTAATGATTTTGAGGTTTTAAATGATACAGTCTCGGGAAAAGATAACTTTATTATATATAACTCTTATTCCTGTGCTCTCAAAAGTTTTCGAAAAAATTATGCATGAAAAACTATATTGTTTTCTTAGCGCCTTTAACATTCTAAAACCAGAACAATTCGGTTTTCGAAGAAACTGTTCCACAACATTAGCATGTTATGAACTGATGAAAATTATAACTGAAAGCTTAAATTCACGAACTCCACTTTTAACCATATTTCTTGATATGAGCAAAGCTTTTGACTTCGTATCACACAGTCTTCTACTAGATAAATTAGAAAGGTATGGAATAAGAGGAACAGCCCAAAAATGGATTAATAGTTATCTTAAAAATCGTAAGCAGTGTGTAGAAGTTACAAAAGTCATAAAGAACACAAAGATATCAAAACGCTCTCAATATCTTACAAACTGTTTTGGTGTTCCACAAGGCAGTGTACTGGGACCTTTTGCTGTTCTTGATATACATTAACGATCTTCCTGACTCTACTACAAGCAAATGCATTTTATTCGCTGATGACACTACTCTTATATTTAAAGGTAGTAACAGATCTGAACTTGAAATCGCAGCTAATGGTGCTCTAAATGAGGTCATACAGTGGATGAATATAAATAATTTAGATATAAATATAAATAAGACGAAATTTATTGAATATAAAATCCTCAAAAACATTTTAAATGACATTAAACTCACATATAACAACTCGATAATTGAAGAAGTCGTTTCCACGACATTTCTAGGAATAACATTTGATAAATTTTGTAGTTGGAAGCCTCATATAGAAGGCCTTTGTACTAAAATAGATCGTTTCGTTTTGCATTACGTAGACTAAGAAATATTGTATCAGAAGGAGCTGCACTGATGGCATATCATGGATATATCTCATCCATACTACGATATGCTGTTCTACTCTGGGGGTATTCGGTGGATTCGCATAAAGCATTTAAAGCACAAAAACGCTGCATAAGAGCTCTTTGTGGTGTTGGTCCTTTAGTGAGTTGCAAACCCTTGTTCAAAACTAAAAATATCCTGCCTTTGCCTTCATTATACATATTTGAAATGTGTATGTTTGTTCATAACCATCCACATTTATTTCAACGTAAGTGTGATGTGAGTGAAAGTAAGGGTAGATACAAGAACAGGTTATATGCGCCAGCAAATCGTCCAAAAGTTACAAGAAGAAATGCTTCTGCAATGTCGATTAGAATTTATAATAAATTACCTGATAATTTAAAGCGTAAAAGTTTATTTTCATTTAAGAAATCTGTTTTGGCATTGTTGCTCCGTAAATGTTATTATTCTGTAGAAGAGTTCTTAAACGACAACGACCTACATACGAGTAATAATGAATGATAATTTTAGAATAGGATTAATTACGTAATTACAAGATTCTGATATTAAAAAAAAATAATGTTTTTGATATTATTTTATATAAAATTTGACTAATGTATATAATAAATTAATAAATTTGATGTAAAAATAGAAAGATATTAATGACAATTGGATATGTATTATACTATAATAATTGACGTAAGAATAATAATTATTATGTGACATTGACCTATGATAATAATCTTACTTGATATAATAATACTTACTTATATTTTTTCTGACACTGTGGCATAATAAATTAATTATGAAATCAAGTAAATAATATTAAATAATTTTATATTTTGTTAAATTAATATATGTTGTTAAATTCGATATTTATTGTTGTTTAGGATACTTGACCATTAATATTTGCTCACTACTAAGGTAGAATATGTAGAACGAATTATACTCAAACACCATTGTACAACCATATGCTTGCAAATAAAGATTATTATTATTATTATAATTGGGGTATCTATATAATTTTCTCACCTGGTTGGGTTCTATAAATATATAATTATAAATTAAAATGAAAAGATAAATGTACATAAATATCAATAAAATAAAATAAATACAAAAATTACATAAACTAATAAGATCCAACCAGATGGGAGCCCTCGGCAGGGGAGACCAGACGGCCGAGGGTTAGGGGGAAAGGGAAAGAAACCGGCGGACGATGCGGGCGGTATCGAGGAGCACCGCCTTCTGCATTTGAGCCCGGAGCGGTCCGTCACGGAGTCCCAGTCGCCTCAGATGACCCGAGAGGCTGACTGGGATTAGCCCATTTGCAGAGACGACTACAGGAATAATTTCGGTCGACACACCACCCCACATGTCGGTCACCTCATGAGCCAGGTCTAGATATTTTGTTTGTTTATCTGTTTCGGCTATCACGAGGTTCTCGTCATACGGAATGGTAATGTCGATCAAAAATATCCTTGACTGTGCCCGGTCCATCAGCACAATATCAGGCTTATTCGCAAGAATAGTCCTGTCTGCGATGATGGCCCGGTCCCACTAGAGGCTGGCGCGGTCATTTTCGAGCACGGCTTCCAGCAAGTACTTGTAATACGGCAATTTTCGGTCCACGAGACCGTATTTCAGAGCGAGCTCCTGTTGTAGAATTCTGGCTACTAGGTTGTGCCTGTGCAAGTACACAGACTCAGAAAGCGCCAAACAACCGGAGATGACATGCCTAAGTGACTCCCCGGGATAGCGACAAGCTCGACAGACGTCGACAGTGCCATCTTTTAGGATGTATCTCCGATAGTTGTTGGTCTTAATAACCTGTTCCTGTTTTGCACAGACAAAACCCTCGATTTCCCCGAAGAGGGCACCGAAACGTAGCCAGTTGAGGGAGGCGGCTGTATCTACGTGAGGTTCATGTAGAGCCCTGTAGTACCTCCCACGGAGCTCCTTCTCCTTCCATACGGTCTCCCGGTCGGAAATGATCTGTACTGCCGGGTCCTGCCATTGCTCGTTGGCTAGGATAGAGGGGTAAGTCTTTTATCACTAGAAATGACGTCATTATAGAATGGATCATCCGATCTCGCCAGGATGCAATGACGGAGGCTGCACACTTCGCGATTATGCATGGTGAGCACGCTCAGGAAGCCACGCCCACCATGCTTTCGCGGCAAATACAGCCTCATTACCGACGATCTCGGATGATGCATCCTATGGCACGTCATTGTAGTGCGGACTTTTCTATCCAGGGCGTTAAGTTCAGTCTGACTCCACCTGAGTATGCCAAAGTTATACATGAGGACAGGCATGACCCAACCGTTATATGCATGTGTCTTATTCACACCGGACAAAAGGCTGTTAAGCACTTTGGTCAAGCGCGCTTAAAACACGTCGCAAACTGACTGTTTCATACCAGCTTCATCGATACCGATGTTCTGTGACATACCCAGGTATCGGTATGTTTCAGTCTCGGAAAGGGCCCTTAAGTTGACGGGCATAGATAAGTCTATGCCCTCAGAGTTTGCAACCCTTCCCCTTTCAACATGGAGGACCGCACACTTATCCGTCCCCAGCTCCATTCCAATAGAATTGCTAATTTCACAAGTGATGTTTAGCAATTCCATAAGATGGGAGCGACTGGAGGCGAATAATTTGAGGTCATCCATATAGAAAAGGTGGGTCACTTTTGTACCTCCCTTCCGAAGCTGAAATCCCCTCCCGGAGCTCTCCAGTAAAGTACTGAGAGGGTTCAAAGAGAGGCAGAACCAGATTGGACTCAGACATTCGCCCTGGAATATACCCCTTCTTATCCTTATGTGGCTTTCCGCAGCCGTCATCCGCTCGGCGAGCTGACAGAGGATCGTACTCCACTGCCCCATACACTGCCCGAGGAAGTCTCGAACTGTGCAGTCAATCTTGTACAGCTCGAGGACCCTCTTTAGCCATGTATGGGGCACCGAGTCAAATGCCTTTCCGTAATCTATCCAAGCGGCGGAAGAAGTTCCGACGGTTGCATTTCACCACTTTGCCAATGACCGCGTCAATGAGGAGTGGTTCGTTGGTTCCACGACCGCCGCCCCGACGTCCATTTTGAGCGCGCGACATCACCTGATTTGAGTCCAGGTGACAAGCGATTCTCGCGCTCAAAATGGATGTTAGTGTCTTGTATAAAGTCGGTAGACACGTGATGGGGCGGTATTTGCTCAGGTGTGTGGCACCCTGATCTTTAGGAACCAAATGAGTGATCCCAGTAGTGAAGAGGCTTGGGAGAGACTTCTGGTTGAGAGCCTCTTGAAACTATCGGGCGAGCACAGCGTGACACACCATGAACCCCTTCAGCCAGTAGTGATGCAGCCCGTCAAGCCCCGGACTTTTCCAGTTCGGGGCCCTACGGACCGCCTCAGCTACGTCATCCGGCGTTATGATGACGGGGTCCATGGGCGTAATACCCGCACACTGACTCGCCACAACTTCCGTCCAAGGGCCCTCGTTGTGGTTTACGGGCTCTGACCACAGGCTGCGCCAGAATGCGACCGTGTCGGCCTGATTAGGTGCTGTGCCCGTTCCACTTACTATTGGTCGCTCCAATGATTTGTAGAGCCTCTTCTGATCACTCTGGAAGAGACGATTCTGGTTGAACCGTGTCGACCTCTCGGTTTATCGCCGAATCCGCTTTCCCCAAGCAGCGATTCTTTGCTTCAGGTCGTCTATGCGCTCCGTCAGTTTTTGCGTTATATCCGGCTGGGACAAACTAACATTTGTCCCAGCAAACGCCATCCTGACGGTACGCACAATCCTTGGCCTGGTATTGCCTGACCTGAAGCATATCAGTCTGCCGATGAGGGCCCTAGCCCTTGCGATACGTTCTTCAATTCTTATTCTCCAGGCTGGGATAGCACTACTTTGTCCAGTAGCGCGTCCAGCCGTGGAAAGTTTGGCGCCTATAATACGGCAGACTGCCAGTGCGGCGCCAAAAAAATTGAGTCCGTCTCGCAAAGGTCCCGGCTGGCTTCCAAGTAGGTAACCAGCATTGGGTTCAGAGCCCTCACGACAGCCCGATTCCGCTTGCTTAGGGCTAAGCGGGGAAGTCGCGGTCGATTTTCGAGAGGCGTACTGCGCGTTTGCACAATCGCCTCCTTCAATGTACTCCTTATTTGCTCTAGTTCCAGTTCCTGGGCGACTGTTCCGTCATCGTTTGAATCAACCACAACTGGCGTATTCACGGCGGCATCCACATATGCCGTTTGCTCAGCAAGTTGTGGCGCCGCATCCCCAGCCGCAGCATTTTCATCCGATGAAGGAACAGCCTTACGTCGTAGCCGTTCGAGTTCGATGACAACAAATGTATTTGAGCGCAAGATATACCGAACTCGGTCTGCCAGGTTTTGCTCGGTGACGGTTACAGATGGCTCCAGCTCAGCAAAAAGTCGATGCATCCTTGCCCGATCCGCAAAACCTCCAGTTTCTCCCCCTTTCGCCCTAAAATACGCCCGCAATGCGTTGCTGTTCATCTGGGTTGTCCAACGCATGCGGCGTACTCCACCAGTGGCGGGTGCCGATTGCTGGGCCCGCGAAGACCCTGCCGACACCAAACCTGGTGTCGGAGGGTTTTCGCGGGCGGTGCGGTGCGGTGGGTATGATGGATGCGAGGGACTGCTGGGTGGTCGTGCAGCACCTCGCGCTCGGCTGGCGGTTCGCATGCTGTCGCGACCAGCGCCAGCTCCAGACGCTCCCTGGCGACCTCCAGGCAGCGGCCCTTTGCGCGTTCTTCCGTATTCCATCATCCATAGTAGTGGGCGTCATTTAGCGCGAGACGCCCAGACCCGGCGCCGTTTCATGGTGAGGCCATGTGCACAAGCGGGCCTTTGCACCTTCAATTTTTGCCGAGGCACGGCACTAACACCTCTCGGCAAGGTGCTGACTTACTGCGCTGACGTACCGGTTTTGTCACATAACCGTTACGTCAGCGGGTGATGGGGTCGTCACTTCCCTACGCCTATTTATTATTATGTGTGGGGTATCTATATAGTTTTCTCATCTGGTTGGGATGTATAAATATATAATTATAAATGAAAATGAAAAGATAAACATACATAAATATCAATAAAATAAAATAAATATGAAAATACATAAATAAGTAAAAGCCCAACCAGATGGAGGCCCTCGGCAGGGGAGACCAAACGGCCGAGGGTTAGGGGGAAAGGGAAAGAAACCGGCGGACGATGCGGGCGGTATCGAGGAGCACCGCCTTCTGCATTTGAGCCTGGAGCGGTCCGCCACGTAGTCCCAGCCGCCTCAGATGACCCGAGAGGCTGACTGGGATAGCCCGTTTGCAGAGACGACTACAGGAATAATTTCGGTCGGCAGACCACCCCACATGTCGGTCACCTCGTGAGCCAGGTCCAGATATTTTGTTTGCTTGTCTGTTTCGGCTTTCACGAGGTTCTCGTCACACGGAATGGTAATGTCGACCAAAAATATCCTTGACTGTGCCCGGTCCATCAGCACAATATCAGGCTTATTCGCAAGAATAGTCCTGTCTGTGATGATGGCCCGGTCCCAATAGAGCCTGGCGCGATCATTTTCGAGCACGGCTTCCGGCAAGTACTTGTAATACGGCAACTTCCGATCCACGAGAACCGTATTTCAGAGCGAGCTCCTGGTGTAGAATTCTGGCTACTAGGTTGTGCCTGTGCAAGTACTCAGAGTTAGAAAGCGCCGAACAACCGGAGATGACATGCCTAAGTGACTCACCGGGATGGCGACAAGCTCGACAGATGTCGATGGTGCCATCCTTTAGGATGTATCTCCGATAGTTGTTGGTCTTAATAACCTGATCCTGTATTGCACAGACAAAACCCTCGGTTTCCCCGAAGAGGATCACCAAAGCGTAGCCAGTGGAGAGAGGTTACTGTGTCTACGAAAGGCCCATGTAGAGCCTTGTAGAACCTCCCGTGGAGCTCCTTCTCCTTCCATACGGTCTCCCGGTCGGAAATTCTCTGCACTGCCGGGTCTTGCCATTGCTCGTTGGCTAAGGATAGAGGGGTAAGTCCTTTATCACAAGAAATGACGTCCTTATAGAATGGATCATCCGATCTCGCCAGGAAGTAATTACGGAGGCTGCACACTTCGCGATTATGCATGGTGAGCGCGCTCAAGAAGCCACGACCACCATGCTTTCGCGGCAAGTACAGCCTCATTACCGACGATCTCGGATGATGCATCCTGTGGGACGTCATGGTAGTGCGGACTTTTCTATCCAGGGCGTTAAGTTCAGTCTGAGTCCACCTGAGTATGCCAAAGGTATACATGAGGACAGGCATGACCCAGCCGTTATATGCTTGTGCCTTATTCACACCGGACAAAAGGCTGTTAAGCACTTTGGTCAAGCGTGCATAAAACACGTCGCAAACTGACTGTTTCATACCAGCCTCATCGATACAGATGTTCTGTGACATACCCAGGTATCGGTATGTTTCAGCCTCGGAAAGGGTCCTTAAGTTGACGGGCATAGATAAGTCTATGCCCTCAGAGTTAGCAACCCTACCCCTTTCAACATGGAGGACCGCACACTTATCCGTCCCCAGCTCCATTCCAATGGAATTGCTAAATTCACACGTGATGTTTAGCAATTCCATAAGATGGGAGCGACTGGAGGCGAATAATTTGAGGTCATCCATATAGAAAAGGTGGGTCACTTTTGTCCCTCCTTTCCGTAAGCTGAAATCCCCTCCCGGAGCCCTCCAGTAAGGTACTGAGAGGGTTCAGAGAGAGGCAGAACCAGATTGGACTCAAACAATCGCCCTGAAAGATACCCCTTCTTATCCTTATGCGGCTTTCCGCAGCCGTCCGCTCGCCCAGATGACAGAGGATCGTACTCCACTGCCCCATACACTGCTCGAGGAAGTCTCTAACTGTACAGTCTATCTTGTACAGCTCGAGGACTCTCTTTAGCCATGTATGGGGCACCGAGTCGAATGCCTTTCTGTAGTCTATCCAGGCGGCGGAGAAGTTCCGACGGTTGCGTTTCACCACTTTGCCAATGACCGCGTGAATGAGGAGTGGTTCCTTGGTTCCACGACCGCCGCCCCGACATCCATTTTGAGCGCGCGACATCACCTGATTTGAGTCCAGGTGACGAGCGATTCTTGCGCTCAAAATGGATGTTAGTGTCTTGTATATGGTCGGTAGACACGTGATGGGGCGGTATTTGCTCGGGTCTGTGGTACTCTGGCCTTTAGGAACCAAATGGGTGATCCCAGTAGTGAAGAGGCTTGGGAGCGACTTCTGGTTGAGAACCTCTTGAAACTGTCGGGCGAGCACAGTGTGACACACCACGAACCCCTTCAGCCAGTAGTGATGCAGCCCGTCGAGCCCCGGACTTTTCCAGTTCTGGGCCCTACGGACCGCCTCAGCTACGTCATCCGGCGTTATGGTGACGGAGTCCATGGGCGTAATACCCGCACACTGACTCGCCACAACTTCCGTCCAAGGGCCCTCGTTGTGGTTTACGGGCTCTGACCACAGGCTGCGCCAGAATGCGACCGTGTCGGCCTGATTCGGTACTGGGCCCGTTCCACTTACCATTGGTCGCTCCAATGATTTATAGAGCCTCTTCTGATCACTCTGGAAGAGACGATTCTGGTTGAACCGTGTCGACCTCTCGGTATATCGCCGAATTCGCTTTCCCCAAGCAGCGATTCTCTGCTTCAGGTCGTCTATGCGCTCCGTCAGTTTTTGCATTATATCCGGCTGGGACAAACTAACATTTGTCCCAGCAAACTCCATCCTGACGGTGCGCACAATTCTTGGCCTGGCATTGCCTGACCTGAAGCATATCAGTCTGACGATGAGGGCCATAGCCTTTGCGATACGTTCTTCAATTCTTGTTCTCCAGGCTGGGATAGCACTACTTTGTCCAGTATTGCGTTCAGCCGTGGAAAGTTTGGCGCCTATAATACGGCAGACTGCCAGTGCGGCGCCAAAGAGAATTGAGTCCGTCTCGCAAAGGGTCCCGGCTGGCTTCCAAATAGGTCACCAGCATTGGGTTCAGAGCCCTCACGACAGCCCGATTCCGCTTGCTTAGGGCTATGCGGGGAAGTCGCGGTCGATTTTCGAGAGGCGTACTGCGCGTTTCCATAATCGCCTCTTCCAATGTACTCCTCATTTGCTCTATTTCTAGTTCCTGGGTGAATGTTCCATCATCATTTGAATCAGCAACCACTGGGGTATTCTCGGCGGCATCCACGTGTGCGGGTTGTTCTGCAACTTGTGGCACCGCACCCTCAGTCGTAGCGTTTTCATTTGATGAGGGAACAGTCTCACGTCGTAGCCGTTCGAGTTCGGCGCCATCAAATATATTTGAGCGTAAGATATACCGAACTCGGTCTGCCAGGTTTTGCTCGGTGACAGTAATAGATGGCTCCAGCTCAGTAAAAAAGACGATGCATCCTAGCCCGATACGCGAAACCTCCAATTTCTCCCCCTTTCGCCCTAAAATACGCCCGCAATGCGTTTGAATTCATATTGATGGTCCATCGCATGCGGCGTACTCCACCAGTGGCGGGTGCCGATTGCTGGGCCTGCGAAGACCCTGCCGACACCAAGCAAGCTGGTGGGGATGATGGATGCGAGGGGCTGCAGGGTGGTCGTGCAGCACCTCGCGCTCGGCTGGCGGTTCGCATGCTGTCGCGTCCAGCGCCAGCTCCAGACGCGCCCTGACGACCTCCAGGCAGCGGCCCTTTGCGCAATCTTCTATGTTCCATCATCCATACAGGGCGTCATTTAACGGGAGACGCCCAGACCCGGCGCCGTTTCATGGTGAGGCCATATGCACAAGCGGGCCCTTGCACCATCAATTTTTGCCGAGGCACGGCGCTCACACCTCTTGGCAAGGTGCTGACTGACTGCGCGGACGTAGCGGTTTTGTCACATAACCGTCACGTCAACGGGCGATGGGGTCGTCACTTCCCTTATTATTATTATTATTATTATCATCTCCGTCAGTACTAGTAAAACTGAAAATAATATCAATTTCATTTGGTGAGATTTATTCGTATATTTTTTTCATGCATTAATTGGATTTATTTATTCTATATATTCATTTCCAATTGCAAATTGGTAGGGCCATGATGCAGCTATACTATGATTAGAGCAAGAAAGAGTCGGCTCGATAGAGGTAGCTCCACGCTCTCACAAAATACCAACGTTTTTACGTAGCAGTTTAAGTGTTTGGTATGGTAAGTTAAGAGAAATAAAGACCCTTTTTACTGGAAACGAGGTATTCTTTCTAAGTTCTTATACTTACGTGAAAATGCATCTAAATTTTTATTACTAATCTAGGATAAATGTAGATATCTAATGGCCATAGCATCTATTTACCGTCAGGTTGACTATATGTATTATACTATAAAGAAAATCCTCTATCCACTACTGAACATAGTCCACTCCCATAGATTTTCTCATAAAAGCGTTGTCGTCATAGTTTTCAGGCTCGGAAGGCGGGTTGGCTACACAGTTTTTGATTATTTTGACTTGTTATCATTTAGATGCTTATGCCCACCTACTGTTTGTTTCACTCTGTCTGCTCTTACGATACCCACGAGATTATATGGAGTAGTAGATGTAAAAAACTGTCCAAAAAGGCAACTTTGAAATTAAATTCTCAATTTTCTTCTATTAAGCAAATAATTAAAGTTATTTAAAAATAAAGATTGATATTTCGTCGGTGCGGCACAACATGCCCGCTCAATTTATGGCGGAAATTGAATTATTGACTGCCCTTGTCATTCGCTTAATAAGGACGTTTTTAATTTTGCCTATTGCTGATTTTTTATTATAAGGAACCCACAGATAAATGTATTTCTAAATTTGATAACCAAAGGGTAAGTAAATTAAAATTATTTCGACATCTGTCTTTCACAAAATGTTACGATGGTCATGTTAATAACTTTACAACGTATTTATTCTAAATCCATCAACACAAACAAAGGGTATATGCCAAAAGAAATAATTTATGACGTATTTATTTTTTATGCTGGCAAATAACATGGCATTGCAAATGCTACGCGTATGCTGGAAAAAAAAATTGGAAATGGAACGCTTATTAATTTAAAAGTGTGTCATTTGATTTTTTTGCGGGAGACTCGTTCGCACAAAATCAGTCGATGTTTTTTGATGGCATTGCATTAATTTATCAATTAAAAAGTTTAAACCCTATACAAAGTTGTTGTAAACTTGTGGTTTAGTAAGCTATTTTTTAATTGATTTATTGTAAATAATAAAACCATTTACCTCGCATATATCCACTCAATAAAATAAAATAATATGTAATAATGTGCTTACCCTAGTTTGAAGAACACCTCCCGCCCTCTCTCAATTGTGTGCACTAATCCCGTCACCGCTAAAACCAGCATCCCTACTCCCAACACCATCACACTAGGAAAGACACAACATCGACGATAGTACAAAATAGTACAAATTTGTTTTAGATTGTTTTAGTTGTACACGTTTGAAAAAAATATCAAAACTTTGATTTATTGAAATTTCTGTAGTTAAGTATAAGTCATTCTTATGACGCACCACAGGGATTTTGTTACATGTTTTATACAATGGTAATAAAATTCAAAATTCAAAATGTGTTTCTTTGTGTAGAGTATATAATGTTTAACAACGATGTTACTTGATACATAAGTCGGTGTCAAATGTATTAAAAACTAGCTGTTACCCGCGGCTTCGCCCGCATGGTCACTGGGAAATGAACTATTCATTGCTTTTTGAATTGAAAGAAAACTGAGTTTTATAGATTTGTCAAAGATGCAGCCATTAAAAGGAAACTGAGCAAAATTGATTCGTCAGCCTATTTAAATGTTTTGAAACGAAGCGTATAGGAGAGCATGAAAATAGCCTGTTTATTTCAAATGGAAATGGGATATTTTTTTAATTAAAGGAAACTGAGCATAATTATCCGTCAGGGATGCAGACTTTTGAAAAGAAACTGAGCTAGATTGATTCGTCAGAAATGCAGTTTTCTGAATTGAAAGGCGACTGAGCCAGATAAAAGATCCGTCAGAGATGCAGCCTTTTGAGTTGAAAGGAAACTGATCTTAATAGGTCCGTCAGAGGTGCAGCATTTGTAATTGAAAAGAAACTGAGCTAAATAGGAAATTTTGAATTGAAAGAGAAGATCTTTGGGAATTCTGATTAATTGATTGTGGGAATTTTGGAAAAAAAACTAACTGAACACTATTTTAAGACGCTACTGTACACAATGTTATATGTTTTTCTATTCGGGGAAAGAATGTGGAGATTCTGGGCATTTGACACACGCGAACATGCTACATACAGCTGACCATGAGAGAAGCACGGTTTTTCTAAGTTGACCCCCGCTATCTGTAACGTTTGCCCATGCGCTTTATTAATTGTCATTGCAAAACTGAGCTTAATAGGTAACTGCAACCTTTTGAACTGAAAAGGAAGATCTGTGGGAATTATAGGGATCCGTGATATAATACCATTTTCACCTATTCCTACGCCTGTCAAAATTGTAGCACCGATTATGTTCCGTCCAAGATGTGTCACACCTAGCCTTGTCCCGTTACATAACCGAGGAGCATCTAAATTTCGCATTAGCATGACCGGGACGCCTAATTTTAATTGAAGCTTATGGGAGGGATATCTAAATAATTTAGAAACTCTACGGGATATGAAGTGCTCTGTTCTGTGTCTATAACTGTGGTTATTGACAAATACTCTGTTATTTCTCCTGCTACTTCACTTAATATATCTGAATTTGTTTTGTTAATGCTCTCATTTTTTGGTGCAACAATCGCCCTTTTACATAACCATTTATCTTCATGCATATTGTTCGTTAAATCTGAATAAACGCTCGCAATTATTTCGGAATGACTCTGTACTAAATTACAAAAATCTCTCGTCAATTTAACGCAGCCCTCAGTATCTGTTTCCAACCGCCCATCGCCACTTTTTAATAATAGTGTGTCAGCATATTTTCCAGCATTGATATCATTATACAAATGCACTCTCATATTCGCAGTTAAACTGAATTTTGTCACCTATTTCCATAAAATAGACGACTTGAGGCATGATTTAATTTCATCTGCAGGTGTGTCCTTTTGAATGACTGGTAAAGTTTGGCGAAAGTCACCAGCCAGTAAAACCACCATTCCTCCCATTACATCGGTATTGCTGCATAAATCCTGGAGCGTTCGATTTAGTGCTTCCATAGCTTTTTTATGCGATATTGTACTTTCGTCCCACACTAAAAGTTTGCATTGTCGTAGCATTATACCTCATGCACTATTTTTGCTAAAGATTCAGATCGGCGATTCTTCATAAGCTAGATTTAGAGGGAGTTTTAAAACAGAATGTGCAGTGCGGCCCCCACTTAGTAGCGTGGCGGCTATACCGGAGGAAGCTACGGGCACAGCAATGTTTTTATCTTTCCCTACATGCGCTAATGATAAATTTAACAAAAATGTATTCCCAGTTCCTCAGGGGCATCTAAAAAGAAAAGTGCACCATTTCCATATTCAATTTGTCCTAATACTTTGTCAAAAACTCGTTTTTGTTCGGGAAGCAAGCGGGGTAAAAATTCGGCTACTTGCTGCTGCAAAGCTGGTATGTTGTAGTTTGTTTCACGTATAATTTCATCGCTTAGTTCATTTTCGGTTGTTCGCTGAGTGCTTATCATTTCAAAGTCGCTTAATTTTTTGTCTACCATTGCCATTACTTTATCTTCAATTTTTCCAAGTGCTTAATTATAAATGTGTTCATTGTATGTCATGTTCGCGTGTGTCTGCTGTAACCTTCGCAAAATATCTTCCGCCATGTACTCTATATATTTGTCCCACAATTCATGTGCATTAGATAGCCCGCAAGATGATATGAGAGTTGAATAAAGATCCCTAATTTTGGCTGGTGACTGGCACTGCACAGCTTCCTCCGTGGTTTCATGCAGTGATTTTTCTAAAAGATGCAGAGCTTCACATGCTTCTCCATAAGTTGCGCATTCCTGAACGTTGATAGTTTTAAGGTCTTTATATCCTGAAGGACCCCGAACATGGTGCAGCAGTAATCGTAAACAGAAATATTCAAAATTAGTTACATGGACGGTATACACACGACCAAGGGCGTCTGATGACTTTACAGCGGGCCAATTTGCAACAAACGCGCCTTGAATACGGCGTTTCCACTCCTTCCTAAATTTGTTAAAAAAAGGTATAATAGCGGGGGACTTCAGAATATAACAACGTTTTTGCAAAGGGGTTGGTTTGACAAAGTTGAAAGAAGGCTGTGGAATGTGGTTTTTGGCGGTGATGCAATTCTTTCTTGGAAATTTCTTTCAGTGAAATATACACGCTCTCAGCAAGGTAACTATTGGGTACCTTTCGTGTAAAGGGAAGCCAAGGAGACGCCACGCTGCCTCGTTACTGCTGACATAACGCCCTGCTTGAA